TGTTGAAGGGCCACTAAGGAAAAGCTTTATTGCCTTCTAGTCAAAATATTGGAATCTGCCTCTGAGTAGAGACGTGCAATACTCTTTTTTTCTTAAAAGTCAATCAATTGGTATAGAGTACACCAATTAGTTGTCCAGTGCTAAGTAGTCAGCTCTGAAAACATATATACATACAAGTAACATATGGACTGAACAGGTTATATTTATAAGGTACAAAAAGAAGTTTATACCATATAAACATCACCTCCAATTCTTCAGACCCTGCCAGTTATCTTTATGCTTTATGACTCTATAAGTTTAAGAATTTTAGACTCTAGAAATAAGTGAGACCATATAGAAATTATGTTCCTATTAATAGCTTATTTTACTTAGCCTAATGTCCTCTAGGCTTATTCATATTGTCATGAATGCCAGGATTCCTTCATTTTGCCTAAATAATATTCTATTGTACACACATACATACACCCCACAAAATCTCTTCATTAATTAATGCCTTGATGGATACTTAGGCTATTCACCTTCGCTGTTGTAAACAGTGATTCAATAAATGTGGGAGAGTACAGCTACCACTTTAACATATCCCCTTGATTTTATTTCCTTGAATATATATTCAACAGTGTCCATATTTTGTATCATGTGACTTTGAATTCTTATTTGGTCTTAGGTGTCTTATTTAAAAGATAGAAATTTATAATTTGGTACTCAAAGTATTATTTTGATTATTAAATAGAAAGTATCAGGAAATCACTGAACTTATTGACATAAAGGAAACCCTCAATAAATCAATCTGTGTCACATGTCCAGTGGTAGTGCTGCTTTAGACTATGTGGCTACATATGTGGCTGCCAGAAATATCCTAGCACTATCCTTTCAATATGAATGCTTCCGGGCTTCTGATGCACTTCTGTCATGGTTCAGTTTGGTGTGTAACTAATTTGAAGGTAGCCAGGGAAGTGGGCTGTTTCCAAGCCTCCTTGGACACAGGAGTCTTCTGCAGAATTGGTATTCCTTGCTTTAAAGGGATCCTGAAAAGATGGCTGGTTCTTCACAGAGAAGCGCAGAAATGTCAGGAGCATACCTAAGTATGTAAATAGCATTTCCCATTTCCCCAGGCTTAGCAACCACCTGTGTAGAAAACACTGAGATATTCCATTTGTGGATCTCTCCAGGCTTTGAAAAGAGCATTGCACATTGTCTAATTAAAAGGCACTGTCTTCAGGCCAGGAAAGAAGTTCAGGGCATAAAACTATTAAAAGAACTCTACCACTTTCCTGAGACAGATTCCATAAATCTCTGGATGACAGGTGAGACAGGGAGAGGGCAGCCTGGGATTAAAGGTACAGAATATTGTCACAGTGCATCTCTTCTGTGGGCGCATACCTTCCCCCATGCATTACACACAGGATTCACAAGGTCCCTCGCTCACACTGCTGTTCTTTTCACTGGTGTCTGGAGTGACTTCTTCTTTAGGAGTCACCCTTACCACCCTGTTCTCCTTGTTTCCAATGATGCCCACATTCTGAGTTCCAGTTTCTGGTTGTACAATTCTTCTTATGCTTTTGTGTGCTCAGTATTAGTGCATGTCAAAGTAAAACCTTCTTGGTGCCAAATTTACCTCCTTAGTTTCAACTTAGAGTCCTGTGTGGCTCTCTCCTCTCCTTTAATCCCAACATCTAGTAGAATTAGATAACTCTACTTCTTATTTCTCCAGTCTGTGTCTTACTTCAATGGCTTACATTTTGCTTCAGTTTTGGCAGGAGACTTCCAACTAGCTCTGTATTTTTACAGTCAGCAGGATGGAGGATCTGAAGTGTAAACATTTTTTCCCATCCAGATGATTAAAACAAAATCTATAAATGTGACCCGAAAGCCATCCATGATCTCACAGAGTCCATACTTGGTGCTCATGTGCCTAATGGACCATTGTAGACTCTTTCTGCATGTCTTTGTGCTTTTAAAATTTATCACCTTGAGTCTTCCCCCACTGTTTACCTTTCTCACTCCCTTATGTACTTTGGTGTTGTGTAAGATGTTCAGTTAGTTCCCCAGAAGCCTACACTGAATTAATTCTCACTTAATTTGGATTGCATTTGTCACAATCCAGTATATTGCAGAAGCAGAATATTCAAGGAATATCCAGGAGAAAAGTACTTGGAAGCACTCCCATGAAAAAACAACTAGAAAATTGGGTCAGTTTAGGTAAAAGAAGCAGAGAGGTAAAGATGTGCTGTCAATCTCAGTCCTGTATAGGGGAACTTAGCTCAGTGTCACCCAAAGTATGTGCTACGTCCCAGAGTTTGGGTGCTTGGTGTGAGGGAAGTGGCACAGTTATGATTCTGCTTCCTTCAGTCATAATAAAGCTAACATCTGAAAGTGAAAAGGGTAGAATCTAGGAGATTCTTAGGCTATCAGCTGGGTGATATACTATTATTTGGGGCTGATGGGCAGTGGGACCAGGCGGGAAAGAAACCTCTAGCTACAGGTTGGATCTTGAGAGTGAGAGAACACTTCAAGAGAATACACAAAACATAGTACAGTGATTGCACTGGTGATAGTCGACTGTCTGCCCCTCATCCCATTCTCAATGACCTCATAATACCATAACATCTAAAAAAACGTGAGAATTGTTCATTTTGCCATAGCAAGGAGAAACCCACTTCAGAAAGGACTCAGGGAGAAAGGGAAGGGGCAGGACTTATGGATGGAGGCATGGTGAATTGCTGTCATGAGGGCTTAGGTAAATGACTACAAGCTCCCTACTGGTGCCAGCATGAAGCAGTTTTTTCTTGGGAAACAAAGGAATCAAATGTGGTGGTGGACACTGTAAATGGGAAAGCAAGGGAACTCAGAGACTTACGGCTTGAAACATTATTGGCATTATGTTAGGAAGCACAAAACTTAATTATCAGTAGGGTTGCCATTCTCACTAGTTATCCTCATCATTAGTTCATAAATGCTGCTCTATGGGGGGCAGAAATTGATATTAATTGAATGTTAGAAGCATATGTTTAAAATAATCTTCTCTGAAGTAGTTTTAGACAAAAATTTAATCCAACGTGTGCTAATAGTCTGTCTGCATATATGTCAGTGCACCACATGTATACAGTGCCCTTGAATGTCAGAAAGGGGTATTGAATTATCTAGAAGTAGAGTTCTAAGCTACTTGTGAGCCATCATGTGTGTTTCAAACCTGGTTTTACTGGAGAGACAACAATTGCTCTTAACTCCTGAGCCATCTCTTTAGCCCCAATGTCATTTTTCTTTGTTTCTCTCTCTCTTTTTTCATTATTTTATTTAGTTTTGAGTTTAGATTAAAAAACATTTTTAGCTTGAAATAGATAAGATACCTTTAAGAGATTTGGGAAGAAACTTAGACTGACTATCAGGGTGAGACAACAATCTAGTATTCAATAGTCCACTTCCACCAGTCTGGAGTATAGACAGGAGAGGGAGAGAGAAACACACCCATTTCTTCTTAGAAAATGGACCAAATTTCCAAAGTAATTCTCATTAATTCATTGCAAACCCATCTTGAAGTTTCTGTATAAAACATGAAATAGCACAACATTTCAACACTGTTAACAAGCAGTTTACTTGAAAAGATATGGGCAGGGTATGGGGAAAATATGTGGGTGTATGTGACCAGTATAGGTGAGGAGCATTGTTATTCCTAGAACAAGTGATGGAGACAGGGGCAGGGGGAGGAGACACTGACAAAATCCAAAGATTTTGTAGAAATTTTGGAGAAAGCAAGCAAATAGGAAATGGTAGTCACGCAAAGCATACAGAATGCTAATATGACCATCCTCACAAAGAACTACAGAAAAGTGTTCACACTTATTCTTTCTTTTGCAAGTGTCTTATCCATGATCCATAGGCTACCCAGTATGAACTAGAAAAGCACAAATATAATCATTGAAAAGATTCCTCCAAATCAGCCTCCAGAGACCCATTGCAGGATGAATGGGAGTGTGAGTAGATATAAATGGGCAGGTGGAAAAAATCTGGCACAATTCATCAGAGTGATGTTAGAATTTTCCATGATGCTATGGACCAGAGGTCTCTCTCTCTCATTCTTCCTTCATTCAAATTGATAAAATTATGTCAGAACACAAGAATATGAAACAAATTGGTTCACAAATAGGTTTTCTATGAATAGCAAAGTTCTGGCATTTGTCTTCTTTTTACTCTAAATGATTCTTCTGAAGATACTTGGAATAGATCTCATCAGATTACCACATCTCAAAATATAGGTAAAGTAATGTACTTGTAAAGTATCAACAAGTGGGATAGCCATTATCTGTAAACACAAATATGCCTTCCATTTTTTTAACCTCAGAAGTATTTAAATGAGAATCTTTTTAAAAGTTGTTTATGAATGAAATGATGAGGTATTCTGTGTGTTGTGCACATATATCATGATACGAGGACATGCATATCATGTAGAAAATGTAGGGATTTCTATAGAGGAAAAGTTTAGAAATTTAGAAATTTTTCTTCAGGTACCCTTGTCAAAGCCATGGAAATATCTGAGAATAGTGGGAGGGTATTTGCTATGGATAGAGTAGGTGATCCCAATATAAGCAGATACTCTGAAAAAGATAGGACCCATCTACCCAAAGCAATGCCATCCACATTGATACCAGTTTGATGGGGAATGTACTATGTTTGTTTATCTTATTGATTGTTAAATAAAATACTGTTTGGCCAATGAGACAGCAAGTTAGATGCGACTAGGAGTCAAAGAGGATTCTGGGAAATGTAGTAGAGAAGTGGTGTTACAGGCAGGAAGTGACATAGCAAGAAGACTCATATCTAAGTGAGGAAACAGGAAGTGTCCCTTCTCTCTTTTCCCCTCCGCTCCTGCTCCAGCAGCACGATGTGATCCACTGGCAAGGAGGGACACCAATAAGGCGTCCGATAAGATAAGTCTTATAAAATATATAGATTTATGATAATTAAGACTGAGCTAACTTTGAACCTAATACAAGTTTCTGTGTATTCATTTGGGCCTAACAAGGGGTGGGGGCTGGCGTAAAGCTCACACGTGGTGGTGGGGCTCAGGCGGCTTTTGTCGGAAAGATTTGTCATAACACCAGTTTATCTTTTTCTTTCTAGACCATGAGATATGGCCAATATACAACAACTAGAATGGAAGTCTAGAACAGGTCAATTTACTGGATTTCTGTGATAGAAAAGAATCTTTTTGAACATATACTGTAGCATCTTTGGGGAAACTAGATTATAGATAAGTATGTAAAATAGCATCAATAATAAGGAAAACTTGAAACAATTTAGTTCAAAGTTATCAAGACTGAAGATGAAAAGTAAGTGTAGTAAATGTAAACAATAATATAGAAATATTATAAAGAATTCAATAGCATGTCTTTATTTTTAAAAGGGTTTTTAAAAAGTAAAATGTAGCATATGAAATAGTCCTTAGAGAAGTGGAAAAAATTTCAGCATCAGTCACCATGTCCCCCATGAGTGTCTGTGGATGTAGGGAATTTCTCTGCATCTGCTGGGAGGCCCTGCTTGTCAGATGTTGCAGTTTATCATGGCCTGGTAACTTTCTCTAAGCTCAGCAACATGGAGGACTCCATCCCCAGGAAGGCTCCCTGCTCTCTACTTGCCCTTATTTGGAAGATGTATCTAGGCCTGGAGGCCTGACTTATTTCAAGGATGACTCAGCGTAGTTCCCTGCAAATGCTCTTCCCCTGCTGACCACATGGTCATTAAGTAATATGTGCTAGCTATTTTCATAGGGCCATGCTTCCACTAACCCAGCTTTATGATCTAAGTATGCTGTATAATGCAAATTGGGTGATTCCCCAACTACCATCCCCAATCTTTTCTATTTCCCATCTTCTGGAATAAAGTTGCAACATTTCACTGAAGTCAACCCCCAGAAGGCTATCTCCTCCATCATATCCACAGCCATCAGAACCCTGGTCTCTGTTGCTGCTCCCTCCACTCTCACAGATTGGTGGCCAACAAGCCCCGAAGAATAAGGAGACCCACAGCATCTTCCTGGAGCTAGGTCTGTGAAGGCTGGAGCTAAGATAGGCAACTGTGTAAGCTTTTTCCACTGCTCCGTATATATTATCCTAATAACCATATTTTATCTCACAGATTGTAACCTTTGTTCATTTATCTAATACCTTGTGGCTTATAAGTGCACAATCCCAAAGTGTAGGGCTTAGTGAAATTTTGCATCAGTGTAATCCCTACCACTGAGGTCAAGACACAGTTTATGTCTACATCCCAGTGGATTTGCTTTTTCTCCATCCAAGTCAATATCAATTACACTGAAGGTTATTTATTTGGATGTCACATCCTGTCTAAAATTGGTCACCATGTCTAATGACCCCCTCACAGTTAAGATTTATTTGTCATTGAATTTTGCATACATGGATCATGCAGAATTCAAACACACCATTCTTTAACCTAGCTAACAGGTGCTGTTCCAAATAAATCAACCCTGAGTGCAGTATGTTGTTATACAATTTTATGTGCCCCTTGTGTTTCACATACGGCGTCTATCATGAGTTTAGTTACTGTACACATAAATCTTGTTTCTTTCCAGGTGGGGATGGTCTCTCACTCAAGTGTCACAATTCAGTTCAAGTCCTCTGGATGACCTTTTGCTAACTATTCTATTCTACACTATTGCTCTGCTTCTAGGACTCTTTATGATTCCTCATGTATACCATTTATAATGGACATTAATCATACAGTCTTTCATATTGTTTAACCATTCCACATACTTACAGTGTTATTTTTCCTAAAATATTGCACATGTCCATGAAAAGACACCTCCATTTATTATTTTTTGAAATCCTAGAGTAATATGAATGAATTCGCACATGCATGAAAAGTATTCAGAAATTCCATACAGGAATTTCCATGCTATCCGGTTAAAACATTTTCTAAAACCCTATGGGGATCAGAGGCAATGATATGTATGTGTATGAATGTGCATACAGGATTTGATTGTAACTAAGGGAACTAAGTAATGATTAACAACTTAACAAGGCATAAAACACTGCTATTTAATAGCTAGGGCAGTTTTCTCTAAACGCTTTGCCAGTAAAAATTTTCAAAAAATTAGAAAAAAGTTTAAATGTGTCTTTTTCCAAGTGACTTATGGACATAGGAATTGAGACATCTATTTATGTCATAAATTTGAGTGCTGAGTATAATTTGGCTGAGAAGGTCCCACAGGAAAATTAAGATAACATCTATAAAAATTAATGAGGAGTCATTCTTTTGAAGATTGTCATTAAAGTGAGTGATAGTCTTGCTTTAATATATTCTAAAAATACCACCAATCTAATGTTAAGTAAGTGTATGTTTGTGTGTTTGGGGAACCATTGCATACGACTGAGGCAGTAACATTGGGTATTATCCATGTTACCAGTCTTCTGCATCAGGTTTAAGCTCAACTCAACATGTCACACACACACAAAAAGAATAAAACTAAGAATTCAACAACTGGAACTTCTCATGGCCTTCCAGTTTGATGCTGCTTCCTTATACCAAGCTAATTGAAATCTGACATAATACCCTCCTTTTTCCCTCTGTTCCAATTCTTGGGTATTTATATAGCAATTTTGGTCATATTTTGGTAATGATGTAGATTTACAGAGGCTCATAACAGATGATTCATACAAAAGCTTTTCTTTCTCTCTCTCTCTCTTTTTTCATTTCTGGAATCCTCTTGGCTTGACTTCCAAAACTCAGCCACTAATGGGACATAAATACAGAGTGGTTCTGTTTCTATTTCTAGAGGAGAGTGTAGTGACTACAGTACTTAAGACATGGGGGGTGTTTGGATTTGGGGACTTCCAAGTTGGCAAGACATGGCTATTTGCAACTGTTTAGGGTCAAGCTATTTCTGAGTTTATCCTGGTGCTTTGTAACAGCACAGTTAGCTTTGGTGATGCTGTTTTTGCACTCATCCTGTGTTTTTCATTTATGTTTTTCCTACTCATTCTTGTAAAAATTAATTTGGGCTCTAAGAAGACTCAGGGAAATTTGGAAGTGATCAGATGTGGAACAAATATGTGCACTTACAAATATTCTTTTAAGATTTGTTTTTATTTTATTTGTAATTGTATTTTGCCTGTATGCTATGTATGTACCTGCAGTGTCTCTGGAGGCCAGAAAAGGACATCAAATCCTTTGGAAATAGAATTACAGAGAGTTGTGAGCTGCCACATGGTGTTGGGAACTGAACCTTGGTCCTCTACAAAATCAAGGGTTCCTAATTTCTGAATTGTCTCTCTTGCCCATAGATATTCTTGTTTGCCAACCTGTAAATATTTTAGTAGTTCTTTCTCCAAAATGCTTGGCAAAGTAGTTTTGTTAGGTTACCTGCTATGAAAATTGGAATTATACTTTAATATTAGACAATCCCATAACACAAGTAAATCTTTTGTTTGTTAGCAAAAGGGCAATTTACTCCAACTTGAAATGCAACAAGACAGGGTCTTTCTTTGTAGCCTTGGCTGTCCTCAAACTTGCCATCCTCCTGTGGTAGCTTCTGAGTTCTGGAATAACAGAAAGATATCACCTTACCTAGCTTTCTCTGAGAGTTCTTGAACATGCATGTTATTGCTCTTACATAAAGATACAAGTAGCTGCTAAAGGGTGCCAATGACATTCATAAACAAGACAGAATGTTTGTGCATCTGATTTGCATTTTAAACACGTGCACTTCAATCAAAGGCAGACTTTGAAATGGTAATTGATGTCACTGACATTGCATTTACACGAAGTACATTTTAAGAAGGTACATTTCTCAAGTTTAGTGCATTTATAGCAAAGGAAGCTACTTAATTATTAAGATAATATCTATGGAGTTTACTTTAGAAACTAACACAGGGAAATATTTTAATTTCCAAATGGTCTGAGTAATTGTATTTTAATGTGTTTTTCTTTTTAGAAGTGGTTATTTCATATGTTTTCCATGATGATTCAATAAGTTTAAATTTGTTCCCTTTCCAGATGTATTAGTATGGTAGTTAATCTTAATTGTCAACTTGCCTGAAGTTGTAGTCACCATGGAAACACAACTCTGGGTTTGTCAATGATGGTATTTCCAGATAAGTTGATTGAAGAGGTAAGACCCACCCTGAGTGTGTGCAGTACTGTCTCATGATCTGTGCTCATGAACGGAGTGAAAGTAAGCTGAAAACTATTGTTTATCTTTTTCTGCTTCTTGACTGTGTGAATGCATCACTACCAGGTACCTGGCACTCCTCCAGGCCTTCTATGCCATAAGGGATGGCGTCTCAAAGGGGGGGGCCTCACAAAAAAAAAAAAAAAAAAAAAACCCCCCCCCCCCCCCCCCCGTCTCTAAGTTGATTCTTGTTAGGTGTTTTGATCATAGCAATTGATGGAGGAATTCAGGTGAAAATATTCCCTCACTTTTGCATAGGGTATAAAGTTAGCACATTTCCATCTTCAATTGAAGAAGTGAGCATTAGATTTTAGCTTCTGTATTGTGATAGACTATAAGTGGGCCATCTAAAGACCCACTCAAGAATTTAGAAATTGCTCACTTAGTTGATGATAATGTTGCAAAATTTCTTTATGTATTAGCCATCTTTGAGGATGGTGTCAGAGCTGATTAGTCAGTGAAGGGCTTTCTACTTTTAAAACCGGATGCTGTTGGTAGTATTGGGATTAAAGACCCATTGCCAATCCTCTGGGTATTGATCCCAGGAGTTCTCCCAATAGACACTTTAGGGTACCTTGCCTGAGAAATCCAGGCTTTGAATGTGCTATTGACTCATAAGTCAAATGTCACAATTGCATTGTGTGTTGACAGTGACTGCAACCTCCATAACTTCATTGAGCTTTATTCTGGCCAATAAATCAATTTAAATATTAATGAAAATAAACTATTTTTGTTTTAATAATCTTTTATGATTCTCTAAAACAGCCAGATTCTTCACTTCATCATAGCTGGCTAATAATTAAAAACAGGTGAATATGGCAAATAATTGAACTCAACAAGAAAGCAAGTCCATAGAAATCCTTCTTCTTTGTGAAAGTCTTTGTACTATTTTGATTTTGCAGGCTGTGGTCTGATTTTAAACAGAGGAAAAGATGAAACAGACACTTGTTAATCATACTGGAACTTCTGAAATTGCTGTTGCTATGGGAGATATTGTCTCAGTATTTCTTTTTAATTTTACATGAAGGCATCCACTCCCTTTTGCACACTGCAGGTTTCAGGGGGCGATTTAGAAGTTCTGAAACACATAATGTCCCTCCCCATTTGAGTATACAACCTCATTCCTTGGCATCCATTTGAAAGCAATGCCTTTCAGCAAAGCAAGAAGTCTCTAACTTGTAATTGCTCACTGAAAATGTGTTTTCTTATGAGCACAATCTCTCATGCAAGCTGTGAGGAATAGGGACTGTACCCAGGGAGTTAATAAAACAATATTATTGTTTCTCCAGCTTACTTTTCCAGGTGCAGTGTCTGCCACTTTCAAACAAAATCTATAGCTTAAGAATAAAATAACCCCTCCTCAAGTATCAATAGTCAAAAACCAGAGAGGTAGGGGACTCATCCAACACAAACAAGATTAAAAATTCAGCGAGAGGCAGAAATCTGGACGTGCACTGAGTAACTTTTCATCAGCATGTCTGTCTGAAAGAAACTATTTCCCAGTGTTCTCCTTCCCTCTTCTTCACAAATGAGTTCAAGGGTGGTTCAAGGCATAATGACAAAGCGCCTGTTTTCAGCAGGGAGAAGCATTAATAAACAATGGAGAAGGCCAAGAGGTAGCTTTGATGTCCTGCCCCTTCAAATTGATGTCACAGCCAGAGATCAGCAGCCCTAACACATTCTCCACAGTCCACCCAGGGATCTGCCTTGTGTTTTCCCTAACAACATGAGATCAGGGTCAGGTGGACTGAGGAGTGGCTTGCAGTGTGGAAGAGCTCTATTGTGGATGATGACCTATAGGTCTCCGGAACTCAGAAATGACTTCCTCTTGTTTGTATTTTCCACTTCTCAAACCCCAGCTGTGGATGCCAGAATCCGGAAGGCAGGCTGGGAGCCAGTAGAGGGCGCATCCTCTAGCACCAAGCCTTGGAAAGCTCCCTTCTACCTGGCATTAGGAAATTGCCCAGCCTATTGTCAATTGCAAGGCCTTTTCTCAACCCAGTGTTAGGCAGCTCCTATTCCATTTGTTTTTCTTTTTTAGGAATACCTGGAAGTCATAGACATTGAAAACACCATGCTTGCTTAGTGTAGGTTTACCAGAAGAGGGGAGCCTAATGAGTTATTCTTTTATTTTCAAGTGGAAATTGCCTAGAATTTGTGCAGGAACTTTGCAACTCTGCATTTAAATCAAGAAAACATCAACTATTAATGTGGACTAAGTGGGAACAGAACAATGGGTCCAAAATACCAGACTGAGACTGAATTATGGCAAGCACACTCTATGTGGCACATTTTTAGTAGGCCAGGCAACAGACTATAGCTTAAAAAAGAACAAAGAGGGACTGAAGAGAAATCTCAGCAGTTAAGCACACTTGTTGCTCCTGCAGCAGACATGGGTTTGGTTCCCAGAACCCATAGTGGGTCATAACTTCTATTCCAGGGGATCCAGCAGCACCTTCTTTTGGCCTCTGTGGGCATCAGGTAAGCATGTGGTATACTTATATGCTTGCAGCCTAATGCTCATACACATAGACTAAAAATAAACCTTCAAAAAAAAAAGAACAAAGAAGTGTGGCTAAAAAGGAGACAAGAGGAAGAGAGTAGTTATAACATCCAACCCTTTGCAGAGTCTCAGGGAGGTGTCATCAGTGAACTGGATGTTGCATGCCTACTGCATTCATGAAAGTGATATATAATAATGCACAGATTGGAATCCATTGGTTTGTGTCTAGAAATCACCCCTCTGATTCACACCACCATTAACCAGTATTTCTTAACCTAAGTTGTTTGATAACACAGGTATGTTTAACTTTAATTTAACCCACACTCCCCGTATTGCCTATAAGACCAAGATTTGGCAAGTCTTGCCAAATACAGCTTCTAGCATTTCCCTGGGGCAGAAGAGTAGAGAACTCAAACAACGACCTTAAAGACAGTCCATCTGAGTTTGACCCTTGTTAATGCTGAATGCAATGAAGTCAGAACTAGATTGACAACAGGTAGTTTATTAAAGGGATAGCACTCACACAAGGGCCAGTGACCAGGCTTACACTGGAGCAGCAGTGACCTGCAGATGTCTGCTTAGCCAGGCAGAGAGAGAAAAGAGGGCCGTGTACATGCCTCTCTGCTACTTAAACTCTTGCTATGTCACTCTGATCATGTCCAAGTGGGCGTGGTCAGTGCACCTGTGGCCAGCCAAGTAGGTGTGGTCAGCAGTACCTCTAAACAGGATTTCCCCCTACACCTTGTCCTGACTATGCATTGTCAGAGAGTCATTTACCTTCTTTGTACCTCATTTTATCAATGACATGGGCATACCAGCATATACCTTGTCAAGGTGTGGGTGGTTGAGATTTATTCACAGCTACATTCACCTAGAGTGAGCACTGAGTTCAGAAGTCAATGCCAGAGTGTTTGCTGTTATCACCATCAGCTGCAGCGCCCATTAATCATCTAGATATTGCTTACAAGTCTTCTGTTCTAAGGCAACCTTCTTTTAGAACACAGATTATATTTGGGATAGGAGATATAATGGGTAGTGTCAGCTATCTAAGCTGTGCGTTTGTGCAAATACATCACAAATTCTGTTAAAGAGTTTTCTTATCAGTAGTGGAAGCTGTTTGAGTTTAGGAATACACAGAGCTCTGTCCTCTCACCATCTGTATGTATGTCTTTGGGTTGTTACATCATCTCTTGGAGACCCAGGATTATTTGCCTGATTGTTTTTATATTATGGAACAGGATGGCAACATGAATGGAAGATATATTTCCAAAAGTATTGAGTAGCTAATATGTGTACTGAGTAATCTAGAGATGTTTTGTTTAAATCATGACGGAGAGACGGGAAACATAGAAGCCTTCCTAATAGAGGAGGCAGGCATGTTTGGGGATTCCCGAAGTCGCACACTGGACAGTCTGAGCATTTTGGCAGAACCCTGAAGAAACCTCTTTCCATTAGTACATGAAATTCTTCTCCAAGAACTTTATTTTGGGGGTGGGTGGAGCTTCCCATAGAACAGCTTCTGGCAGGGGCTTGGGAGATGACCCAGTGGGTACAGTGCTTGTTGTGTAAGCATGAGGGTGTGATCCAGATCCCCAGAACCTATGTAAATCTAGTGCTGTGGGTGTCTGTAATCCTCATATCCCTATGTTGAGATGGGAAGTGAAGACAGGGGAATCTCTGAAAGCTTGTGAACCAGCCAGTCTGAAGTATGAATCAGTGAGAAAGGGACCCTGTCTCAATTTGAGATGAAACATAAGGACTGACACCCAGGAATGTTCCCCGACCTCTACATGCATGCTGTGTGAACATGTGCGTGCCTATACACAGAGAAATTTAAGAAGAATAACCTGTGGTACACTATGGGCTATTGAAAGTGCTTTGGGGGTCAGCTGCTCCAAACTATTTCCATGTTGGAAACATGGCTGACTAGATGACCCATAGAAAACATATTTTTCCTTTCTATTTTGGTTTCAGTATCTCTTCATGAGAAATTAAATGAATGATATTTGGAATTTTCCCAGAAATGAAAATTTGCTGCGAAATTATTTAAGCAAAATGAGAAGCAAAGTCACCAGCACTTTCTTGTGGACACTTCCTTTCTCACCTAGTAAGTCTTTGGCTGGAGCATTCCCAACTCCTGCAACCTTCCCGCTGGTTCCACCCAGTGCAGTTATATCCAGATGATTAGATACTGTTGAACCTTTTATTCCTTTGAACTTAGGAAAAACGCAGCACTGCTAGAGATGGCGGTAAACAAATGCCAATTCTGAGCTCTGTGTAATGCTGCAAACTATCAGGAGACCCAGCTCCTGCACAGCACATGTAACTTCAATGTGGAAGATGTTTTTCAATAGGCAAAAGCATTTGCACTGGAATTGGATTTGATCTTCATGAAGTCTCTCTGAGGTGTCAAAAGAACTCATGGCTATGCTTTGGCCATAAGTATTTCACACATAGAGTTTCGAGGACTCCAGGAGAAAAACTCCTCACTGACCCTTCCTTTCAATACTCTGGTGGTGACTTCACTCTTTCTGGGCCAATGTTCTTTTCCAGTAGAAGAGCTCTCATCGCAGAAATCGAAGTGGAAATTGGACAGAGAGAATGGATCAGCACTGAAGTCTGTTTTCTGTGTTTTCCCTGACAAATGGGATTGTCTGAGTTTCCAATCATGTTAATTTGCTTACTCTGGCACAGTCTTGTTTCTTTTGTTGATTAATTCTTGATATTAGATCACAGTTTGTACAAATACTCTTTTCAATTATTTCCAAAGCTTTTATGGAATATTCTGGGTTTTCCCCTCCAAATTTATGAGCCTTGTCAATATTACCCAGAACTTGGATGTCTAAACGGGCCTCCCATGGAGTCCATTCTCCTTAGTCTTATTTTTGCTTCCTATAAAGTACCATCTTGGGGTTTTACATTTGACAGTAGCACTAAACCCCACAACCACATAGTATTTATTATTTATATATTAATGAATTGAAATATATAACATAATAGTTTTCTGTTTTATAAAACTAAAGCTCCACAGTGTATAGGAGGTATGCTCAAACACCTTTAAATCCCATTCATTTGGACTGTTTTTGCAGTGCTTCTATTTGGACTTTCAAAACTGCAGGGAGGGTGAGAGAGAATAAATAGTCATCACTTGTTCCCTTCTGGGATCATATTAACTGATAGTTGCCTAGGTGCTGTTTAGTGCCGAGGATGTATCTCCTTGTATAAACATAGATTTCAAAATCTCCATAGATATACTCTGGTCAGAGAGGTTTTGTTGGCCACAGAAAACACATGGTCTTGGTTTCTCATGAAAAGGCACTGGCCAAGCATGTCGGGGATAGGAATGTAAACAGTCAAACAGATCACTTAGCAGTGGTTACCAGAAATACATTTAAAAGACTTACTTGATGCTTGGAACCCATGGTATAAAAAGGCAACACTAACTGGAAAATACCTCAGGAGAGGTCCATAGCCACTGGTGCGTACAAGGACAATGTTTGCTTCTCTTAGTGTGTTCCCATGAACTTCATCAATAATTTATAGCCTACTTCTTCCATCTTCAGTGTCAGTTCAACCCTGTCAGAGCACAGGCATCTGGTGCCAATCGCTTGGCTTTCAACTCCGTGTTCCAGGAAGTATAACATGACTGACTTGGGTCTCTACAATGCCTATTTTACTATTCTTTTTCAACTAGTGGAATTAGGAGCTGGAGAAGTGGTGGGCCAAACTTACAAGGAGTTCCGTTTCTTCCACTTCCTCCTCTCCTGTTCCTCCTCCATCCTTCTCTTCACCCTCCTCCCTCATCTTCTGTCTGCTTCTCTTCTTTTTTCCTCCTCTCCTTTTCTTCTCTCCCTCCTCCTACCCCCACTCTTCCTCCTACCACTCCATCTCCTCCTCTTCATTCTTTTCTCTTTCCTTTCCTCTTTTTAGGGACACAAACAAGCACCTCTTCTGCAAGGTATTGTCAGTAGCTCCTTTTATGGAAAAGGGCTTCTGAAACTTGGGGACAGAGAAGGAGCCAATGCCTACATCTGCTTCTGCTTAATTTTCCTTGATTCCAACCCAAATAGCCATGTGTTCTGTCCCTTGTTTTCACTCAGAATAAAAGCTCCTTTCTCACAAATAATACATATATATATATATATATATTCTCCAGAGGCCAGAATGAAAGCTCAATTTTGATAGCACCCACCACTTACTAGCCAGTGGCTTAGGGAATTGCTTACAGATAGTTGATTTAAAAGTTCAAGTAAAGGGTTTGTAACTAGGTTTTGGAGTCTAATGTATTTAACATATTCTTTATTGGGTTATCAATAGATTACAAACAAAACAAGAAAGCATCTTTAACTTACTTGAGCCATGTATAAGACATTTACAAAAGCAAATTCTCCATTTTATCTCCCCTGTCTTTCTGCTCTCTCAAATTTCTCTTATTAAATTTATTTTCACAACTGAAGAAATGAACAATTTTCCTATTCTGTTAAAACATCTATGGGATGATAAAGCAAAAAAGAATTAATCATATGGAGGAATTTGTGGAGGGACATTAGGTTTAAAAATAAATTATTTCAGCATGTGAGGTTTTTGTTGAGCTGCCAAACAAAGTCCGTGGGGTGGTTCACAAGAATAGAACCAGCAGCTACTAGGCTTAAGTTTCTTGGGTTAGTAAAACTTAAGCTGGGCATTTAGATAATATTACATATTCTAAGCAGTTGGGTGGTTTGGAACAGAATATTTACCTGTAAGTATACATTCAGAGAAGTTTTGAAGAACATAATAATAAGCAAATAGAACAGTTATTAATCTCTGTAATTCATGAGACATAGTATATTTGATTATGTTTATTCTAATATTTGAAATCATATATGAGGCTAGAAGAATTGGATTATATCCATGATTTTGGTACTAAAAGTAGTGCAATTTGAGAAAATTTTATTTAGATTTGTGGGGAGTTTACTAATGGTGAAACTTGCAGCATATAAACAGCCACACTTGAACTTTATAGTTCTATAGTTCACCTAGTAGAAGGGTGCTGGCTTTATCGAGTTCAAGCATGTCTTTTGCTTCCTAAGGAGATTCTGTTAAGAATAGAGCCACATATCAGAGTACCTTGAAGTGATTGTATTTTTTTGTTTTGTTTTCAAGACAGGGTTTTTCTGTGGCTTTGGAGGCTGTCCTGGAACTAGCTCTTGTAGACCAGGCTGGCCTCGAACTCACAGAGATTCGCCTGCCTCTGTCTGCCTCCTGAGTGCTGGGATTAAAGGCGTGCACTACCACTGCTTGGCCTCCTTGAAGCAATTGTGATCTCATGTTGTGTCTCCAAACAGGCAATCTGTTGCTCCTTAAGCAGCAAGCTGAAATATGCTAGTTTTTAATGGTTTAGATCTTGTGTGGTTTCCAAGGCTGAGTTGCAAGTTTGGATGCTTGGCTGTGGTACTGTTGGGGTGTGTGGAACCTTAAGGAGAAGGAAGTTACTGGGACCCTAGCCCTTACCTCTCTCGCTCTCTTTTCTTGATTCCCAATTGCTGTAGATTGGTCAAGATTTGCTCTACCATACAGTCCCCTGGATGACCTGCATCTATGACACAGACTCCAAACCAATAGAACTAACTGGCCCTGGGCTTAAATCTCTGGAGCCAAAACAATTCTTGCTTCCTTTTAATTGATTATCTCATGCTGTCCTGTTGTGAGAATAGCAAACTTTTATAGGAAAACAATGTCTACATCTACTATAGGTAATAAGGACTTTTTGTGTGATTTTGAGTTAAGCAATATTTTTGAGCCTGTCCTGGTGGCAAATGTCTGCAATCCCAGTATTTGAGAAGTAAAGACAAGATTACCAGGCATTCAAGGTCTTACTTGGCCTCATAAGAGATTTGGAGGCCAGCCTGATATACACTGAGACTGTCTCAATAAATAATAAATGAAAAATATTTTTGCTTTTGTGTACATTTAAAAAATCTAGGTTTAGGGATAGAATGGGTTTAGACAATTGCTAACAAAACAAAATTAAAAAGTTCCAACCAAGTACCAAAGAAAGTATAACCTGGAGATTGATACAGAGTTTAACTTTGGAATCATAGGCTTCCGGCAGTCTGAGGAAAGCTTTGGAAGCCCTTATCCAGGGCCAGACAGGCTGGCATCTACTTGTGCAAAACAGTCTCAAGAAGTTCGGCAGTGCACTCCGAGAACTTTCTGTTTCAGTTTTTCCAGTAATCTTTCGTATCTGCTCTATGGAAAGAAAGAGAGAGAGAGAGAGAGAGAGAGACAGAGAGACAGAGAGACAGAAAGAGACAGAGACAGAGAGAGAGGAAAGGATGGGGGTAGGGGTGGGAAGAAAGAGGGGAGGGGAAGAGAGGTAGGAAGAGAAGGAGAGAGAGGAGAGAGAGAGAGCAGGTACTAAAAAGAAAAGCTCTGGGAATTAGCCACTAAAACAAGAGTGTTGTGGCATAGATAGAACAAAGTTAATGGCTAATTCTTAAGCTGTTTCTCTTTGGTCTTGTAAATTTTCATTTAGGATCACTTGGCCTGTATTCATGTTGAAATCCATGCTGCTTCAGAACATGCTAGTTTTTGTTCAGCCATACTGATGGCAAGTTCTTGGGGCAAAGCAAGCCTGAATGTAAAATATGCTGTGGATAAGCCCCACAGTTTTAGCATCTCATGCTGTAATTACAAGCGCCCAGCAGGTTTTATTTTCTAATAAAAGCATTTACTTCAAGGAGAAATATCGTTATCCAAAAAAAGGCAACAGTAAGTTCTACTTATGTAGATACTATCCTGCCCCATACATGAACTTCAGAGGGCACTGCCATTTCTGTTTCCAAAGTTTTTGGTTGAGAATCTTCTCTATTTAAAGATACATCCTAAAGAGACACGGAAGAGAACATAATGTATTTGGCCATTCTCATGCTTAGGTTTTTCTCTATTCTCTGTGTCCACATTCTCTCACAAAATTTTAATTACAGTTTGATGATACGTAGCTCAGACATTTCTCTCTTAAGACACTCTCTAGTTGATAATCACACTTTATGATGCACAAATTGGATTCCTAAAAGGCTGAACTGTCCCCAAGCAACTAGGTTACAGTGACAGAGCCATATTCAT